ATATATATATATGTTTTATATACATGTGTGTATATGTATATGTAGATTTGTATGTGTGTCTGCGTGTGTGCATGTATGTATAGATATGTATGTTTTATATACATGTATGTATATGTGGATCTGTATGTATGTGTGTGTATATGCCTGTATATATACATGTGTGTGTGTGTATATATATATACATATACATAGACAATGTCTGTGCAAATGTGTATGTATTTGTACATATGCTTTATATATATGTGTATGTATATGTGTCTGTGTGTAGATAAGTCTGTATATGTGTAGATTTGTTTTATATACATGTGTGTATACGTTTGTGTATATATATATGTTTATGTGCATATGTACATGTGTGTATATGTATGTATATATGTGTATCTGTATGTGTATATATGAATATATGTCTATGTGTATATCTGTTTATGTGGATATGTACATGTATGTGTATGCATGTCTATATTTCTCTTTATGTGTATGTGTATGTTTATGTGGATATAATGGTATATGTACATGTATCTATGGTATAATGATATACCAATAATGGTATATGTGCATATCTGTGCATGTGTGCATATGTATGTGTATATCTATATATTTATGTTTATATATAATGTATATGAGAGGCAGCGTGGTGTACTGGTTTGAGCGTTGGGGTAGGACACTGGGAGACCAAGGGTCGAATCCCCTCTCAGCCATGGAAACCCACTTGGTGACCTTGAGCAAGTCACATACTCTCAGCCTCAGGGGAACACAATGGCAAACCTCCTCTGAACAAGCCTTGCCAAGGAAACCCCAGGATGGGGTCGCCATAATTCGGAAATGACTTGAAGGCACACGACAACATATAATATATATTATAAGTGTGTGTGTGTGTGTGTGTGTATCTTGGCCAGGGGCAGACAGACACAAAAGGTGGGGAGGAAGGGGAAAAATCAGTGGCTGGCATACAAAAGGGGCAAGGCCACTGTCGAGGTGCCAACAAGGCTGCCTGGGTTATAGGCATCTAAGGGGCATCCATTGGGAGCGGGCATCTGCAACCTCCCTCTTCTTGTTGTGTGCCTTCCAAGTCATTTCCCAACTCCTGGCAACCCTAAGGCAAGCCTATCCCGAGGTTTTCTTGGCAAGAGTTGTTCAGAGAGGGTTTGCCCTTTGCCTTACCCTGGGGCTGAGAGAGAGTGACCTGTGCAAGGTCACCCAGTGTTTTTACATGGCTGAATGGGGATTCGAACCCAGATCTCCAGAGTTGAAGCCTAACGCTCAAACCACTAGGATACACTATCTCTCAGCCTCTGTGGGGGGCTCAGGGATTCTTTCTCTGTCCCCCTCCTTTCTTTTACTGTCTCTGTGCTTCACCCAAAGAGGATTACTATAGATTTTCCCTATACTTACACACACAAATACACACTCTTACAGTGGCAGTTATGGGATGATTCGGGGAGTCCTCTTGGGGTGCTTGGCTTGCTCTGGTGTTGGCATTCAGATTTGAGTGGGGGTGCATCTACACTGTAGAAATGATGCAGTTTGACGCCACTTTAACTGCCACTTTCACAGCCTTGCGAAATCCTGGGATTTCTAGTTTTGTGTGGCACCACTGCTCTTGGGCAGAGGAGGCGAAAGGCTGTGCAAAACTACAAATCACAGGATTTACGGCACTTCAGTTGGTGTCAAGCTGCATTATTTCTACCATGCCGATGCTCCCTTAGACTCAGGAGTAAGACTTGGGGCTTGGTGAAACTGTTATTTCAGTAAAAGGCTTTAGAGGTGGGTAGATTGGGGTTTTACATTCCATCTCCAAAATCTTAGAGGTAAATCAGCCACAGGAGCAAAAATCTGTTGAAAGTGAGACTTACTCCTGAGTAACCTGTATTGAATGGGGCTTGCTTCCCTTGGCTCCATCCGCATTGCAGAAATAATCCGGGTTGACACCGCTTGAACTACATGGCTGAATGTTCTGGAAATTCCAGTTGGTTGTGGCACCAGAAATCCGTAGCATTGAGCCAAGACAGTTCAAGTGATGTCAAACTGGGTTATTTCTGCAGTGCAGATGCAGCCCTTGAAGGAAACCCCAGGGAAGCGGACAGCTTTGCATTGAGGCTGCTTGGGGCTATGACCCAAGAAACCTTTTTACTTTATCCAAGCTTACTTGGGAGTAAGCCTTGTTGTCAGTATGGTGGATGTTTAAGACTTAGGCTGCATCTGCACTGCAGAAATAATCCAGTTTGACATCACTTTTAACTGCCATGGCTCAATGCTATGGGGTTCTGGGACCGGTAGTTTCTTGTGGCACCAGAGGAGATTTCCGGAGCATCCCAGAATTCCATACCATTGAGCCACGGCGGTTAAAGTGGGGTCAAAGTGGATTATTTCTGCAGTGCAGAAATGCAGCCTTAGGTTGGCAAAAGTACTGCTATTTAGGGGTGTCCAACTTCATTCTGTGAGTTGGCACAAAATCCCCAAGAAAAGACCTACTGATTTCTATGGAAATGTGGGCTTCACTCATTCATTTCCCAAAAACTATTCACTATTCCTCCAACCAGTTCTTTAATCTTCTCTTTTTCTTTCTTTCTTTCTTTTTCCATAGGCATCAGAACTGGCCTCAGAACACCGCTCAGCAAAGGACGAGAGGACTCCCTGCCACTAACTCCTTTTTAACAGGTATACCGATGATCCCAGCCTCTTGCCCCCCATCCTCTTTAATCCTTTTATCTATAAAAATGCATGGTCAGTTTAGGGGGAAAAGGAGCATTTCTTCCCCATCCCAGACTGTGATCCAGAGCCGCCCCCCCCC